TTTTTTGCGTTTTCTTTTAGTATATTGTCTCGAAAATATTTCTACCAAATATTAAATTGAAATTTGGAAAACTAACGAAGTTATAGCTTGCTGAAATGTACCACGCGCAAGTATAACAACTGGACGTAAAATTTTTAATTTGTTTTTCTCGAAACTACATTTTTCGACACTGCGTAGACAATAACATGAAAACTGTTTAAGATATCAACATGAAATTTATACAGTATCTTTAGAACTGGTCTCTCTATAACGTAAGATAGCTGCGGTATATGCAAAAATGCCTTTTTCTTTTATTAACAAAAAGACACCCGAATATATGAAAATATTCAGAAAATATCTTAGTTCGTGCGATAACCAAACTTATCTACATTAAGAATATCTTTTTCTGGATTTCAGATAACTTGTTCGCAAAATATTAGTTACGCAGTCGGTCGCCATTCGTAAAAACTGTTGTTCGTTGATCGAGAAAAACTGCGTAATCGATAGATATTATGCGTTGCAAAAATTCGTAAATATAGCTAAATATATGATAAATGTACCTACAAAACCCGGAACAAATCGCTCTTTAATAGTCCGCAAAAAAAAATCACAAACATCTTTTTTTTTTTGCCAGAAAGTAGAATGACCCCTTAAGGTTTCTATGTAGTGGAATACATTACCATTAGAAAATGTTCGACTCGAGAAATTTTAAGAGGCGGTGGGGAACGAGCCGTGGACATTTAAGCGGACACCGTTTCTTGCTCCGATCCCCATTTGGCCGTTCCACGCCCGTAGAATGAAAAGAACCGGCCAAGACCTCTCCAGATTCCCGAAGCGATCGATTGTTTCGCGAGAACCATTAACGAATTTCCAGCTTCTTAGTTCGCGTCCAGCCAAGGCAGCACTTCAATCGACGTAGACGCCTAGCGTCGTTAGTCTCGAAGCCGCCAATTAAGTCAAAAGGGGGAAAGTCTCGTGGAGTTCTCGGGGTCCTTCGTAGCGATGCGGTTCCTTTACTCCGTCGGGAAAGGAAGAAGAGGGGGGGAAGAGAGTGCACTTTGGCCATGAACAGCCTTCGCCCCCGCGTGTCCCGTGCGAGCGGTTCCCCCCCCCCCTCTCACCCCCTGTCGCGCCTTCTCTAACCCACCGAGATCGAACTTCAAGTTACTAGACCGATGAACACGGGATTGTTCGTGGCTGCGACACGGGACGAGGACGGGAGATTTGCTTCGATGGCATGAAACAAGTTGCATACCGCTGTACAAGGACTGAATCGAGTGCCAGGGGTTTTAGGTACATGGTCTGGAACGTGTGCCAGAATGCACCGAAAGGATACTGACCCCTTTATTCGAATTCCGAATGTTTCGAGCTGTGCGTTGCTTCTTTAAAAAATCTACGGGAACTTCTTAAAACATTCTAGAAACGTAACAACTAACGTCAACTAACGATGAGAGGATACAGAGTGTGACATTTCGCGTTGCATCCTCTGGAGACATCGCTTTTAGCCGGTTGTTGGGATAAATAGATTTACTTCCATAAAGTTACTCGTAAATGTTATTTGTCAGCAATTTATGTTAAATTTTATTGATGCGATGATATGAACCTATATTCTAATTAAAAGAAAAACTGCAGTGTAATTTCTGATAATTAATGTCTGAAAGTCTAGTCTTAAGGAATTACAAATCTTTTTTTTCTATTTACATTTACTATTACCTATGATATTACATGTTGAAGTGTATCATTTTAAATGACTCGACGGGGGAAATAAATATTATCTATCAACACGTTCACGATCAGATCGAAATCGTATAACATTCTGAAAAAGTACAATTTTGAATTTAGACCATTGTAAGGTACATAAGCTAAACTTTATTTCAGAGTACTTATATTTCTAACCTTGTTAAAATTTACAAATTTTATCAAAATTTATTTCCCTCAACGTCCCAACTTGAGAATTAATTTCTCTAGTATCATAGTAGTATTTCCTGTCACTGTAAAGTGTTAAAGGAACATTAAAATTTGTATACTTTTCATTACATTCCATGAAAATGTCACCAATGATATTGTAGGGGGTTCGTGACGAAAATGAGCCCAAGCACGACCTCGTTTAACCACGTTTACTTACACGTATTAATATTCGTTGAGTATAAACATTTTAAAAGAGTTTACCCTATTAAGAAAATCGAAAATGAGTTTTCTAAAATACTATTAATTGCATTCCATCATTATAGAATGTATAATAACATTTTGTTGCTTTATTGAAGAGTATATACGTTGAAAAATATCAGAGAGAATCGCGAGAATACGAATTGGACATCCATGCAAGTAGAAATAGTAAATATTAGTCAGACGCGCCAAGCAAGTTGTATGAAATCTAATCATTATCATTGCTAAATGTATAGTAACAGTTTGTTATTTTACTAAATAGTATACACGACGAAAAATATGAGAAGGTAATGGTGAGAATATTATTGGAATATCTATGCAAGTAGAAACAGTACATATTGGTCAGACGCGGCAGGCAAATTGTATCAAATCTAATCATTATCGTTACTAAATGTATAGTACTATTTTCTTATGTTGCTAAAAAGTATATACGTTGAGAAATATCAGAGAGAATCGCGAGAATACGACTTGGACATCCATGCAAGTAGAAATAGTAAATATATAGTCAGACGCTTTAGACAAAGTGTAACAAATCCTACGCGTGTTCGACAAGTTTTAAATATTAGAACATTTTCCAATCATCCTGGTCGTACTATGATTACAAAAATATCATGTATAAAATAAAAAGCATGAAGGTACAGTAAACGAAAGATTTGTTTATAAGTTTAAAAGTTGCATCAAATCTAATCATTATCATTGGTAAATAACATAGTAACAGTTTGTTATTTTACTAAATAGTATACACGACGAAAAAATATGAGAAAGTAATAGTAAAAATACGATTTGAATATCTATGCAAGTGGAAATAGTAAATATTAGTCAAACGCTTTAGACAAAGTGTAACAAATTTTACGCGTATTCGACAAGTTTTAAATATTCGAACATTTTTCAACCTTCCTAGTGGTACTATGGTTACAAGGGTATCCTGTATAAAATAAAAAGCAAAAAAGTGTAGTGAACGCGCAAGAATGAAATAAAATTTACTACTCGTTAATGAATTAATATGAAACAACTTAATCCCCATTTTATTTTACTATTTTTTCTATGTAATCCCAGACACCTCTTTATAGAACAGAATGCTTTATCCTGAAACTATAATTTGTTCATACCGTACACACTTCGTCAGCATTTCTATATGCTTCGTACATTGCCGACACGCGAGCACTATATCGGTATGTAAATGAATATGACTACGGACAACTTCCTCCATTTTACCAACCATTCTTCCGTGCATAACGTAATTGTTTGATGTTGTGTCGACACGATTCATAAACAGGCACGCCTTCCTGTTTGTTATATTTTCAGCCTTAAATACCAGGCTAATTTCGCGTGATTTAGTTAAACAGTTTTCTTTACTTTGCCACCTCGATGTTTCCCGCCAGAACCTTGTTAAAATTTATTACGAGACCAACCATGCGTACCGAATCATATAAAAAATTGATATACATTGAAATGAAACTGTTTTAATTTGGTCATATTATATTATAATTTGCGCTTGAAGGTTTCACGGGCGCAATTAAACTTCCGTTGTAATCTTTCACGATTAAAAGAATTTTCGAACAGCGCGTAGAACAGGCTCTATCGGGGATGTCGATTTTCATTCGTTTCGCGAAAAACGCGGGCCACTGTCGGCCAACAAGGACTTGGAGTGTAGCTAAACTCTCGGAAAAATATTCCTCTACAGGCCATTCCCAGAGAGAGAACCGTGGTTGTTTCTTATTTTCATTTCAAATAAAATTTACCCCGGTCTATTTCATTTCCATCTGCGCGCGAAGGGGAGAATGAAAATTACTCGATCGCGCAAGATACAATCTGCAGAGCGTCGGAACAGAACGAGCGATCGCGAGGCACGATGTTCGAAAATATTCCTCAAATCAATGTTTTCCGAACCAGTGCTACGCTAAATTTTTCCCAAAAGTGTGCCACTAAATAAAAATTTACGCGTTAAATTCCGAGCTAAGTAACACCGAGTAAATTCTCGTTCAGAAAAGTAGCTTACACTCTTATACTCTACGGGGTATTAAAAATTATGTCCAAGCCCTGCTTATACATGTAATCAGCTTATATTGTTAACTGGAAAAAGACAATTCCTTCGATCGAAACATCGAACGAATCAGTGAAACTCGATCAGAGGTTATTAATTGCAAGAAAAAGGAAATAAGGGGTAACTTGTTAATGGATACGGTTTCCTGGGTTTCATATCCAGAAATCGTTGCCCCCGAAGTTGTCCTCGCACGAATTCACGCCAGATTCCACTGGGCTGGGATAGATTAAGGATTTCGCGCACCCCCTCGTCAGGCCAGGGTAATAGAAAGAAGAAAGTGGATCCAATTCGACTGTTTTTCTGGTTTAGATGCCCGTTTTCACGGCTCGTTGCCGGGAACTACCAGTTGCACCCCCTTCCAACCCCGCCGACTCGTCGTCCTCTCAAACTGTCGATCGTGGGAATGATTTATGGCGCGATAATGGCGGTGGTCCACGGTCGGAAATCGTACCGTCGGTTTTATCGTCGAATTCAACCCTTTCGAGTATCGTTGTACCGACACCGAACATTTTATCGTCAATTTTATGTTTGTACGCGGTTGTATTGTTTGGTTCTTTCGAAGAGCCCGGTGGGCCAGAGGTCCGCGAACCGTTGTGATTTATGGCTCGAGAATGAATTAAAGTCGAATTCGGTAGCTTCGTACGTTTGGTAGAAAGTTCTAACGGACGATTATCCATTTATTCTAGCAAAGTTTCTCGAAAGGTATTCATCGGCCTGTCGCACGGTCGATACACAAAATAATGAGATGATTGCGGACGATATAATTTATTCCACGATCGCTGGATAAGATATTACAAGAATAACCTCTTACCGGCATGCGATGCATCCAGAATGCACGAAAGCGGCAACAGAAAGCAAGTCAGCACCAACGGCCACTTCATCTTCGAATCTGGAACAACAGACAAAATTATTTATGCAACTGTACCGGTTAGAGTATCAAAAAGAAACAGAGTTTTATGGGTTTCCCTACTGAGAATGATTATAGCCTCGTTATAGCATTCATTGAAAGCTTGATTGACTCGAAGGGGCAGAAAAATAAAATGGCTGACCGAACGTCGAGTTAAAAATATCGACCTCAGCCGTGAAAGTGAAGTGTACGAGAACTTATTATTATTTACGTAAGGTAAAAATATGAAGTATTCCGACGAATAATTAAATAACACCTGTTTGAAACAAATCTTTGATAGTATAAGAGAAAATTAATTGAGAAATCAATTAAGTAACGTAGATTACGTAAAAATACGTGGAAACTAATACTATGAAAAGAATTGTTGTATTATTTACATGTCGACTTCAGCCTCGCTGCTGGACAAAATTATTAGTGCGTCTCATTTATTGGCGTTTTCTGTGATTTAGAAGATTCCGTAAAAAACGTGGAAAACGCAACGAAAAGAATTTTTGTATCATTTGCATGTATGCAAGAATACTGAAAGGCGAAATGTACGAGAACTTATTATTATTTACATAAGGTAAAAATATGAAGTCTTCCGACGAATAATTAAATAACACCTGTTTGAAAATAATCTTTGATGGTACAAGAGAAAACTATTTCGGAGACTAATTAAATAACGTAGATTACGTAAGAATACGTGGAAAATAATATTACAAAAAGAATTGTTGCATTATATCCATGTATACAACAATATTGAAACTGGGCGAGAAGTTATCTGACCCAATGTAAACAGAGTTATATATGTTCGGCCATCCCTGGGAAAAATTTTAATGGGAGATTCCAGAGGCCAAAATAAGACGAAAATCAAGGATACTAATTTGTTGATGGACGCTTTGTTAAAAAGTTATTAACGTTTAAAGTTCCGCCCGTACTGAATTTTTTTCTCGAAAATGCGCAGGATTTCGGGGGTATGTCTATTCACAAAAAATGATTGTAATTGACCCCCGCAACCGAAAATAATTTTTCCAGAACGATTTGAAATTTTTTTTTTTCCGACGAAAAATTTCACACCTTCTCGAATTTTTTTCTAGAAAGTGGGTAGGATTTCGGAGGTATGTGTAATGACCAAAAATTATTGTAATTGATCCCCGCAACGGAAAATAATTTTTCCAGAACGATTTGAAATTTTTAAATTTAATTGTTAATAACTTTTTAACGAAGCCTCCATCAACAAATTGGTATTCTTGATTTTCGTCTTATTTTGTCCTCTAGAATTCCCCATTAAAGTTTTTCCCAGGGGTGGCCGAACACCCTGTATGATAATTGAATAACATCTGTTTGAAAATAATCTTTGATGATAGACGGGAGAATTATTTGGGAAATAAATTGAATAACGTGGAATTCGATCCGAAGGAGACGCTGAGAAAAAACACACCCGGCAGGAATTAATTCGGGCGTGTATTCGTTTTCAAAGAGCGACAGGCCACAATTAGGGGAGAGCCCGTATGTGCGACGTGTATTACCGGGAAAAGTGTTGAACTAATCCTCCTTTCGCTCGACCAGAGTCGGATACTGATGGATGCGCCTCCGGCCATATCTACTACCGGGGGAACAGATCGCTTTCGACGCGATAGAAATTCGACGATCGATACCGTTCGAATTTTTACGACGCGGTGGACCTGCCAATATCCAGGAAACTCGTCCAAGCAAATTTAAAGATGGGTCAGAAGTAATTTTCGACGCGGACGTTGAAACGTTACGTAGAGGCGAATTCTTGCGACGGTAAGCAAAATGTGAAAAATTAATACAGTTTGGCGAAAGCACATTTCGATTAACATTGTTAATAATCTGTAACGCATCAAATATTCAGCTAAATCTGTTAGACTTGTGGACGAACTGCGATTTTACTATTCTCGTCTGAATTAGTAATGCCAACTTGCAAGCTTTTTAGATGGGATTATTTAAATAAATGCATATTTATTTTGTCGGTGCTTTTGAATAATTTTCTAGCGAGAGAATTTTTCAGTGTACAAAATAAATAAAATTCAGATGAGGCAAGAATACAATGGCCCTGTCTTTAAATATATAAACGCCAATTTGCAAGTTTTTTATATGGGATTAATTAAATAAATGTATATTTATTTTTTCGGTGCTTTCGAATAATTTTCTAGTGAGAGAATTTTTCAGTGTATAAAATAAATAAAATCCAGATGGGGCAAGAATACAATGGCCCTGTCTTTAAATATATAAACGCCAATTTGCAAGTTTTTTATATGGGATTAATTAAATAAATGTATATTTATTTTTTCGGTGCTTTCGAATAATTTTCTAGTGAGAGAATTTTTCAGTGTATAAAATAAATAAAATCCAGATGGGGCAAGAATACAATGGCCCTGTCTTTAAATATATAAACACCAATTTGCAAGTTTTTTTATACGGGATTAATTAAATAAATGTATATTTATTTTTTCGGTGCTTTCGAATAATTTTCTAGTGAGAGAATTTTTCAATGTATAAAGTAAATGTTTGGTGAATACAACGGTTGGAATAAAACATCCCAACCAAGCTGCCATAATATTTGTCCTGTCGTAAAATATATCTATATAAGATCGTATATTATCGTAATGGAAAATATGTTTCTCAAATACGAGAGATAGTCGTTTCTTTTGTACGATTGCTTTCAATTTATCCAATTGTGAACAATATCTCTCGCTATTAATTGTTCACTTATGCAGTCAGAGTTTACAATAAAGTATTAAAATACTTGTCAATCCCGTGTGCAGAACGACCGCCATCCACCGCGTTCTAATGCCGCGCAATTTTTCAAACTAACGCGAAACAATTTGCGACGCGAGAAAGTCGACGTTTCATGAAATCGAAAGAGGCCATAAATTTCCCATCGTTGCGGTATCTTTGAAAACCGCGGCACGAACGAACAGTTTCGTCGCGACCGGGGTAAACGATCGCCCTGCTGATGTTCCTCCTAATTTCCGAGAAGAAGGATAAGGAAAGAAAGATGGAGAGCAAGGAGTTAATATCCCCGGGGAACCTTTTATTTTTCCATATTAGCCAGAGATCCTGTAACAATGTGTCAATGGTCTTGGCTTTTGGCTTAGTAAATCCTTAAAGACGTAGTCGACGTATTATTTTAATTGGTATATTTATGAAGAAATTACAAAACATGTAAAAAAAAAAAAATTGAAATTACAGAAAGATATCATTTATACTCGCATTTGAGGCTATTTAAATATATTTGTAATTTAAATTTAAATTCAAGAAAATATTCTTTTTGGCGGGTTTTGATAGAATTATCCGAGCAAACAACGTTCGGTTATTAGACGATCGAGTGCTATAACCTACGATTAAAATTTTGTCAAAATTAAAATTCTCCGTAAAATAGTTTCCATCTAAGGGAAAAGCAATTGAAACAACGTGGAGATTTTTTGAGAAACGAAGGAGCAATCTCCGAGGAAGAAGCAAGAACAATATTGCGAATAACGAAAGACGCAACAGAACTTAATAAGACACTTGTGGACAGACAACAGCGACCGAGTGAAAGAATCTGTGTAAAACGCTTCCAGCGCACGCCGGATGAGAAAGGAAAGGGATTGCGATCGCGGGCGGATTAAACAACGCGCGGATTTTTTGAGGAACGAAACAGTAATGCGGAAACCGGACGACGCGTTTCCTTCGCCGCGCTCCGCCGGCAAGAAAGAACAGGCTGGGGGCAGGTAGAAAAGAGCTAATATCCTCCAGGAAGAGGAACCTTTATTTTTCTTTATTAGCCCGGCAACAATGGCGGGGTACGCGGCGGTGTCAATGGTCTGGCTTTTCGCAAGCCCCAGCGAACCTACGAATCAGCCGAGCGGATGGCTCCGGCCGTATTTGCGGATTTCTCCGGCCAGTTCATCGTTGTCTGTGCTCCGGGAACAAGAAACGCGGTTCCCAGTATGCGTTCAAAAGAGTTACGAAGGGGAACAGAGGAAGACAAAGTGGAAAGACAGAAAGGAAAGAATTTTGCTGCTTGGATCGCAGCGACGAACACGTAACGCGCCGGGCTATTGTTCCTTAAGGGCTCACGACGGCTACGAGGCGTTGAAAATACCTATTTACAGCCCTTAAGCAAATGTTTTACCGAGTGTTTTGCATCCATACTTCATCCACGAGACTGAAGGAATCGTATAAGCACAGACGAGGTGTACGATTAGACCTTTCACCTAATGTATTTTTTTCGGACCGTTTCTCTGGGGTCCCGGGACCCCATTACCATTTTCGTATCACTCGCAACGTTACCAACAGATTTAAAAATTAACACAAGAGGAAGTGAGACAGAAAATGAAATTACATAAATTTTATTATTTTTTAACGGAATAAAAGCTGTACGGTCCAGAATTGAGCATCGATCGATTTATTTCATTGGAGTAACCAATCGATTAAGATTATTTAAAGTTTCAAGATTATTAAAATACGCTTTCCTTTTTATGAATCAACCCCTTGTAGGGGCAGAAACTTAACAGTTTTTGAGTAACTTGTTTTTTGGACGCCATTAGTCGAGTCTCTGAGTGCGAGAGACAGACAGTACTCTAAGTACAAAGTTTTTGTGCAATACAAAATGGGTAACAGTCAGGGCACAGTAAAACTAACATAAAATAGTTTGCATCGTAAGTCAAGTTAAAAATAACAAGAAGGCAACGTTTATAAATTAAATTGTACGTATGAATGAATATGGAACTCGTTTTTTAAGTGCGAATGTTTACACAAGGACCAAATAAGAATTTGGGAGTCTCGAAAGTGAGATATACCTTCCCTGTGAAATAAAGAATTAAGACTGAATTACATTTCGAGCTATTTTGTCCATGATTCTAATAAAAGAGAAACATTGCAAGTGTTTGATGTATATCGTCGCGTTATCACGAAGACTGTGAAGATCGACGTGTTACGTTTAAACAATGTCCTTCGTAAGCGTTATCCAAGAGCGTTCTTCCGAAGTGCAAACT